TTTTTCTGTGGCTTCACAGCCAAAGGTTACACCCTCCCTTAAGTGAAGCATTGGATGACAGAAAAATCAAACCCAGAAAATCCTTAAAGTTCGAGTCGCAAGTCCAGCAAAGTGATTACATAAAATATATTTTTGCAAATCTAAGAAAGCGTATATATATAAATAAAGGAAAAATCAAACCGTGAGTACATTAATTGACCTGTTTAGGTTACATCCAACGTATATAATTTGGCGGGTAGTGTTATAGGGATAATATTTTTTTATATTATTTTTTGATACAATTTTTACATGTTTTTAAATTAGTAGATATATTTAATATTATAAATTTTACATAAATTAAAAAAATTAATAATTTAAATAACACATATAAGTATATAAAAAAATAAAACAAAAAAATTATACAAAAATCATTTTTCATGAATCGACGCATCTAGTTAAGATTGATGAATCTTGTTCTTTATTATGTTAATGCCATTTGACATCACCTATAAAGATGAAAATATATTAATAATACCCATTCGCTGCATGAAGTGAAAATACCATTTGAGTTTTAAGTTTGTCTTTACAGGAAGATCCAGGGCCGGTAGTACCTTCAAGGGCTTTGTAGAGTGAAATGATCTAAGACAGCTGGAGTATTGCATTATAAAAATAAAAATAATAGTAATAAACAAAACACAAAATTGAATTCATTTTAAAGCAACTAACAATTTTTTTTTTTTGTTGCATGATGAAAGGCAACAATCTCTTATCTCTTATCTCACCTCACTCACATGTTATGCAATTTAAATTCAGGACCTTTTACTTCTAGTAAAAGGAAATGACCACTAAGTATCACTAAGTTATTTAGATCGTTAGTAGAAACCAATAATTTAAATAACTTAATACTAATTTTTTTTTAGTAAAAATAGAAAGTCGCAAATATGAATTGCATATTATGCAAATGTGATAATTAAGAAATAAGAATGAGTTGTTTCTCATTATAATATGGTAAATGAAAACAAAAATTCATCCCCTAAGAAAAAAATCAATGCTAGATGACAGTGTGAAGCATGGGGTGTGGCCAGGCTACATGTCGAAATTTGTCATGAGGAATGGGATGGAAAATCAAAGGCCTAACTCAAACTATATTAAAATCAAGCGTACCCACCAAACCTAGTATGGTGCCATAGTAGTGATACAAATAAAATGTGGTCTCAAGATGACAGATCTTTGTGTACTATGTAGTAATAAACTATTGACAAATCACATTCTTGTGAGAGGATTAGATATGCTATGAGCAGACAGAGTCCTTGGGACCTGTGGGCTAGAATTTTTCCCGCAAAATTAGCAATGATAAGTTGATAACTCAGGCACCAAAGACCTGGTGAAGCTGGTATTCACATTTACTAAACTTTGTTTTCACCCTCCTGATTCTATTTGAAGCACCCCCCCACCGCTCTGTTCTCTGTACAGTGTGAAGCATTCTTCCTTTTTCCTTTGTTACAATGGCTTCCAAAACTCTGATGTTTCTGGTGGGAACACTCCTTTTAGTTGCTACAAAAGTATGTTCTCTTTCTCTCTATGAATTTAAGACTTTTAAGTAGACAGACTGGAGAAGAGGTTTTCTCGTTTGGTACCTTAAGGATGTCTTCCTGTTTTTCGTTTCTTTTTGCAGGTTTCATCTTATCAAAAGGAAGATGATGAGATTATGGTACACTTCAAACAGTTTTCACTTCGCGTGTTTGCTTTTCTTTACTTTTTTTGGCTATAAGTTCCTTGAAAAATTGCTGCTTTGTTTGCAGTCTAGTTTTCCTCTAGCACCAGCTCCAGCTGCTTCTGTGAAGCCACCAACTAAGGCCCCGGCACCCTCAAAGGTCCCTGGACCCTCAAAGGTCCCAACTGCTGCACCACCAGCCAAGCCCCCTACACAACCAATAAAGCCTCCAACTCCTACACCAAGTCCTGTTCCCGGGCATCCAATTACCAAAAAGGGTAAGATTATTTTTCTAACACAGTATGAGACTATGAGCCTGATTAGTCTAGCTGGACAATGTATTGATGTAAACTAGTAACTTTGAAAGTTGATAAATTTCCACAAACTCAGAAGTCTATGTGGCCTAGTTTTGGCTTTCACAGTAGAGAAGTGTTCTAGCAGATGGGTCAAACAGGAAGTAAAAATCAAACAGAAGCTCTTTTCCCGTTTGTGTGTGTGTGTGTGTGCTTATTTTCTTACATTTTTGTGGATGACTCTTGTGGGCAGATTGCATCCCATTATGTGAACAGAGGTGCAAATTGCATTCAAGTAAAAGAAAATGCGTGAGAGCATGCTCCGCATGCTGTGACAAATGCAAGTGTGTTCCTCCAGGGACTGATGGCAACAGGGAGATGTGTGGCAAGTGTTACACTGAGACGAGAACTCGTGGCCACATATACCAGTGCCCTTGAAGTCCTCAAGCTTTCTTGTTTGGTCAATGTTGTTTGTATGTGTTAAGTAAAGCATGGAATAAGTTGTAGAGAATGGAGAAAATAAATGGTTTTCATCTGACCTGTCTAGTCTCTATTACTCCTACTTGAAGCTATCAATTTGATATTAAAAGTTAAGGCAGTACTCATTTTATGTAATAAATTGCAGAGTGTTAATATATTGTCAAATTTCCATTTCTACTGTTATATGAAATTTGTTCTCATACAAGACATGATGATAAATCTTAACATATAGTTAAAATTAAGAAGGATATAGAGACTTTTAGAAAGGCTTATGAGAACCACAGTCAAGTTTTCACCTTGGAGAATTGCAAATGAATATTTAGGACCAGAATCTTATTCAGGTTCTTCCAGAAGCAGAACTCGTTCTAACAATGGGAAAAGCATAGACTGCATCGAAGAGACCCTTTTCATTGGTATCATAAAGCTTCCTGCAGATTTACATCCCCTTGAGAAGGACAGCACAATTACAGATACTTAGAGCAATGAACGGCTTGTTTGAATTTCAATTCAAAGGACCATTGCTTATCTAAACCCTTGCTATGAACTACAATAGCGCATTATTAAATTTCATGTTCTTCTCCATTGCATTCTTGTTTGAATTTGATTTTTTGATTTCCTTGTTTGTGGTTGTTTCTACTGGTTTTTGATTCTGGCCTACTCTTAAGCCGCATGGAAATCAATAACTTTGTTTATTCATAAAAAACAAACATTTTCACGTCTTATTACTACAGTATTACAGCTCAATCCATGCAAATTTCCTTGCACCGGATGTCATAGTTACAAATTATCCAAAAATACAAGAAAACATTCATTGGATCGCCTCCTGACAACTTTCTCAGGAAAGCAGGCCAGGATTTTCTTCTTACGTCAATGAAGTACTGCCTATATATAGGCTGATAAACTGAGCATTCATCAACAAGGCATACAAGGAAATCAAGCTCCTCTGAGCAGGATAAAGGAAGAAAGGAAAATCATGGCTTTGAACAAGATTGTTGCAGTTTTCAGCATTTGGTTTGCTTGTGTACTGTTGTTAGCCATTGCTGCAGCAGCAGCAGAAACTCCAGTGCCTTCTCCAACTCCTGCCTCAATTACTCAAACTCCTTCTGCTCCTATCACCACCCCTGCTCCTGCTCCTGCTCCTGCACCTGGTTCTGCATCAGGTCTCCTTGCATCTTTCCCATTAGTCATGGCTGGACTAATTGGTTTTGCCGTTTCTTTCCTTGCCCTTAAGGAAATAGCTTGAGCTTTCTAATTTCTCTCCTGAGTGTTGTCTACTTGTCTAGATGGTGTCTTCAACTGTAATTGTATTTCTGTTTCTTCGTCCAAAAGAAACTTCTGTTCCTCGGTCCAAAAGAAAAACTTCTGTTTCTCAGTATCTGTTTCTGTAATGTTACATCATGGATGCTATTTTTGATGTGTTTGTTTGCTGTCAACTTGTCATGGACACCATTTTATAATCCTCCTTGATTGTGGTATATATCCTGGAATTATTTCTACTTTATTCTACTATCAGGATTCTGATGCAGAACATGTTAGCAACGGACTTTCAGATTTTAATCTTTCATTAACATAAGGTACCAAGTCAATCTAACATCAAATATTAACTTTTCAGTGACAACAAGCAAATCTTGCTCAACCAGAATGTGCAAGATAAGCCCTTTTTTTGTTTAAGTTTCCACTCAGCTTCCATTTTCTGCTAATTCTCCCACTAAACAATGCAACATTAACCAGATAACACTTGCAGTTAAACCTGTGTTCATAGCTTGCTTCAAGTAGAATATAGGATACATCAAACAATCCCTTTTAAGGGAAAATGATAAATTTTGAAGATTTGAAGACTCATTTGGATCAATGACGGCAATGATTGATTGCAACATGCCAACTACTAATTACTGGTGTCGGTCAAACCGAAGAACAATGATGAATTTGTCATCTCTTCTACCTATGGGTTTCCTTGTTAGCATCACCACGCCATTAACTAGAAAGATTAAATTCTGTCCTGATTAAACATTTGCCAAAAATAATTATAAGATAGGTAGAGATATTATAATGATTGCTTTGAGTTTCAACTAATGTGATAATGACAATTATCGTTATAATATTAATATGAAGTTAAAGGAATATGATTATATACCATTCCAAGTGCTTAGTCCTTTGATATAAACCGCAACGGCTGAACCATGTTATGTTTAATTTGTCATTTTCTTCCATTTTCTTCATTGTTTCCTTGGCATTCTTACATCTTAGCTTCAGTTTTTGGGTGTTTTTCCTTGTTGTTACTGATTGTTTTTCACTAGTTTTCAGTGTTGTCTTACTCTTAGGCTGCATGCATGGATCCTTTCCTTGTCCTCTATTTTTGAATTAAAATACTTGCTTATTCATCCAAAATAAGAAGGAAACTTCTAACAACATTACAGCTCATTCCCATCTAATTTCCTACTGCTACATAATATGACTCAAATAACTGTAATTTATCCCAAAAGACAAGAAAACATTCTTGGTTTCTCCTTTGAACGCGTTGTCAACGGAAGCATGGGAGGGTATTTTGCTTACTTCAATGAAGACCTGCCTATATATAAGGATGGAACCAGAGCGCACATAAACAAGGAAAAAAGAGAAAACCAAGCTACTTTGAGAAGCCAAAAGAAGAAGGAAACAACCATGGCTTTGAACAAGATTGTTGCAGTTCTTGGCATTTGGTTTGCTTGCTTAATGTTGTTGGCCATTGCTGCAGTAGCAGCAGATGCTCCTGCACCTGCTCCAGTCCCTTCTCCAGTTCCTCCCCCTGCCCCAAGCACTTAAACTCCTCCTCCCCCTACCCCTGCCCCTGCACCTTCTGCAGCAAGTCCCCTTGGATCCTTCTCATCAGTCACTGCTGTGCTGATTGGTGTTGCTGTCTCTTTCCTTGCCCCTTAAGAAATAGCTTGACGTTTCCCATTTCTCTCCTGTGTGTTGTCTACTTGTCATGTCTTTACGTGTTATTGTATTTCTGGTTCTTGGTCCAAAAGAAGCTTCTGTTCCTTGGTATTTGTTTCTGTGATATTGCAGCATGACTGCAGTTACAGATATTTTGTAACACTCCTGGATTATCTCATGTATTGCTTCACCTTCTAACAATAAATTCAATTATTGAGTCATCTGTAGTGTGTTAATCCTATTATATAGCCAACGGACAGACCAAAAAACAAAGTATTGGGAACATTAAATTAACTGAACTCTTAATGAGTTTGAACTCAGTTCTTCCTTTTCAGAAGAAACAGAATGCGCCGGATTTTTCCAGCGGCAACCTTGCTTCAGGGAGAAAATAGGATACATCAAACAAGCCCTTTTTCTTCATTGGAGGAGGGAAAAAAAAAAACTACATAATTGACTACAATAATTTGTTGCAATATCTGCCAGTTATTAAGGACTGGATTTGATATATAAGCATGAGAACAAAGATAAATCCATCATCTGTTCTACGGTTAGATAGCAACAAGCTAAGAAGCTATGGTTTTTCCTTGTTAGTGTCACCAAGCCAGTAGAGGCCATTGTTTTATTGTTAAGTAAAAAACTCTTTTCTTGATTTAACATTTGTGGCTAAGACAATTATATAATTACAGTACTCGACACTTGTTTGCATTTCAATTAATGTGACAGGGATAATTGAACTAATTATGATGCATTTCAAACACAAAGGAATGTCAAAATGTGATCATATAGCCCTTCCAGACATTTAATCCATTCGAGTAAACCACAATGTCTGGATTACATTTTCGTTTTTGAATTTTAACATTTGTTTTACATAAGTTGTTGGAGCCGTTTCCTTCTGGTTTCTGATTGTTTTCTCCAGTTGGTCTCCGCTATGTTTGAATTACAAGACTTCCTTTTTCAACTGCAAACAAATCTTTACATCTTAAAAGACATTACAGCTGATTCTATATATATAGTCTTCTTTGCAGCATACAGCTCTCAATATCCAAAAAGAGCGCAAGTATTCATTGGTTTCACCTTCCAATTTCCAATGCCTTTC